TCCTTTAGTCCCCAGTGCCACGCAGTGCTTTTAATATTCCGTCCCTCTTCCATGCTGACAGTTCTTCAAAATGTCCTTAGCATGTGCCACGGTAAGAAATGAAAATCTTGAAGAGGATCTGGCCCAACACCCTGAGGAATTCCTCTGTTAACTTCCTTCCCACTCAGTAATCCTTTGCCCAAGTTGACTCGTACTTGTTCACATGGATACCCAGTTCTAATGGCATCGTGTCCAGTCCAAGACAAGCATCATCACAAATGATCCAGTCGGCCAGGCTGAGCAAGTTAGCTCCTCAGTTTAGCATCCAGGTAAATGAGTTATGCCTGGAAAATCAACAGGAGATACCAGCTCAGTTTGCCCTAATCATTTTATCTACATCATTTTCTACTTACCTTCAGGTCTTAATTATTCTTTCCTTCCAAATTTGCTCTAAAGATTGCCCACAATTGTAGAAAGACTGGTAAGTCTCTGACTGCCAAGATAATCTTTGTCGTTTTAATAAGCATGGGTACGGTGCTTACTGTTCCGCTGCCAGATGGGAGCACTCCTAAATTTTAAAATCTCTGTTCCTGGAACAGCAGTTTTATACACTGATTCTTCAAAACTCTTGACGCAGATGATTTTATTTCTTCTCTCAGTTTGAGCACACTAAATGCTGTGAGCTTCTTTCCCTCTTCACTTATGGTCACTTGTGTGTCTCCACCGTTTTTCCAGCCCTCCACCCTACCTTTATTTTCTGGTGTAGCCAGAGCAGGAAAGGGAATCTGCCTTTGTTGTGTGAATTTACAGCAGCTACTGCAGGTTCCCTCTGAGAAGATGAACATGATTGCGTAGAGATGTAGCGTGACATACAAGACCACCTGCTGCTGTTCACTTTTTCACTTACCTAAAGCACCGTAACGTTTTGCAAACAAGTAGACCTCTCTGTTGATGAACTTCAACCCAACCGTACCCTGGGCTGCATCAAAAGCAGCATGGCCAGCAGGTCGAGGGAGGGGATTCTTCCCCCCTACTCTGCTCTGGTGAGACCTCAGCACAAGAGGGACATGGAACTGTTGGAGCGGGTCCAGAGGAGGCCACAAAAATGATCCGAGGGCTGGAGCACCTCTCCTGTGAGGACAGGCTGAGGGAGTTGGGCTTGTTCAGCCTGGAGAAGAGAAGGTTGCGGGGAGACCTGATTGCAGCCTTTCAGTACCTAAAGGGGGCCTATAGGAAAGATGGGGAAAATCTTTTTAGTAGGGCCAGCTGTGACAGGACAAGGGGTAATGGCTTTAAACTAAACCAGGGTAGATTTACACTGGATATAAGGAAGAAAGTTTTTACAATGAGGGTGGTGAAACACTGGAATGGGTTGCCCAGAGAGGTAGTGGAGGCCCCATCCCTGGGAACATTCAAGGCCAGGTTGGATGGGGCTCTGAGCAACCTGATCGAGTTAGCAGTGTCCCTGCTCACTGCAGGGGGTTGGGCTAGATGACCTCTCCAACCCAAAGCATTCTGTGATTCTATGATTCGAGAGAGAACTGAGGAGTCCTGCTGACGTGAGGCTGAAGATGGTAGATTAAGCTCCAAGGAAGCTACGGGCAAAGTGCCACTACCACAGTGCCAGTACCAAAGTGCCAGTACCAAAGAAGCAGTTGTATCAGGGAATAAAGGTAAAACTCTTTAGTTAATGCCTTTGGCTTAGGCAGAGGCTAAGCCATGCACGTGAATTTACCCACAAGGGGCAGCAGGAGGGCCAGGAGGCCTCTTTCTTTTCAGCATGGAGTGAGTCCCACATGTAAAGGGTCTGCTTTTGCGCTTGTCAAAGTCAGCATCAAAACCCCCTTTGGTTTTAATAGCATCCTGTGTTTGCAGAGCGCTTTTTGGTTGCTTGGAGCTGAGCAGAAGTACCTGCGTGCTCTTTTGCACAGGCGTGAGTGCCCGTGTGGTGCCAAGAAAATGGACCGGACTGTCACAGAGGACCTTGTCCACGTATCGACTGCGCTGCAAGAGACTTCTAAAAGCACACAGTAGACGAACCGCACGCGGTCGATTTCCACATTTCCACGTTCTGCACTTACTGATCGTTCTCACAGCCAGCATTTAGAGAACTTGGCAAAGACCGTCAGGGCGAGTATTTTAGCTGAATCGGAGTTCGTGCCAGGGAGGGGCATTCTTCGCCTCCCTTTGCTGTCTCGGCTGATTAAGCGTGAGGTAGCAGCGCTCCCCGATTGCATGCTCGCTAGCACCCTTACACTGTGTAAAGGTTCTTCCTTTCCTCGAGCACAAGTTTTGTGTCAGACAAGACAGCAGAACCTTGATAATTCATCTGCTGCTAATTTGGTGGGAAATGACATCATCTGGTGAACTATTCTAAGAATTAATGTGATTCCAAGTTTGCACCTTAGCTTTATTAACCTTTGGCTGGGTAGTCCATGCACTGTGAAGTCTTGCATATCCAGACCAGCCGGACATCCTCACCAGTGCATTTGGGAACAAATGCATTTTGCAAAATGTTAAGCTTAACTCGGAGGTTCCTAAGTGAGTTCATTAGTTACAGTGGCCGAATTCCAGCGGCCTGGCATCAGCCCCCCAGAAGCGAGCGCGCAGCTGTCCCCGTGGGAGTATCGCTGGCCTCAGCCAGCCATAAAAGGACAAGTGCTGTGGAAGGTCACACAGGCAGCTTTCCCAGCAGCTTGCTGTCTTTATCTGCAGCATGCTCTACTGCACTCCTGGGCCTAATTTGCTCAGCTGATTGCTAAACGTGCCGTGCTCTGTGGGGGAGCTGAGGCACATAAAAAGGGATTGTGGCACAGGACCAAGCACTGTCATCGGTGACCTCCTGTAAGCAGCATGCAGGCTACAGGATGGTGGTGACACAACCACCATGGTGGGTCCACTCCTTGATCAAACACCCTGCCGCAAGGCCCCAGTCAGTGAACCCTTGAAGGCACCCAGGCCAAAAAAATCCCTGGAGCTGGGGTGGTCACAATGGCTGGCTGAGATCTGGCCAGTGGTGGCAGCTTTGTAGAAGAGCTCACTTCACACGCCTGTGGTGAGCGTGCCGGAGCCCGCAGTGTCACGTCTCCTTAGTAAGATACTTGCTGTTTATAGGCAGGCTTTCTGCAATAATGGGTAACAAATGGAAATCAAGGATATTCCTGAAAAGGCTCAGCAAAACTTTTTTTTATTTCTACAAACAAGCAAATATCTGTGGTGGTAAGAGTGAAATAGGTATAAAATGGTTTATTTTAATGTAGGCAAGATCACATGGTTCCTGGGTTGCCAAGCATTGGAATGGGCTGCCCAGGGAAGTGGTGGAGTCCCCATCCCTGGAGGTATTTAAACGACAGGTAGGCGAGGCGCTTAGGGACATGGTTTAGTGGTGAGATGCTAGGGTTAGGTTAACGGTTGGACTTGATGATCTTACAGGTCTTTTCCAGCCAAAGGATTCTATTCTATTCTATTCTGCTCATGAAATAATAAGATCATTTAACCATGGAGTAAATTTATACACTAGTTTGGTATGTTTGTAAACTACATAATGGAGATGTTTTAGCATGTCCTTATAGGCTAGGAATGAGGACAGTGTATTTGCAAAGCTAATCTTTTTCAGCCCTACAGTTCTAGTAATACTGTAACGTAAATATATTACCTACGATGAGAAGATGCATTGTTTTGTCCAACTGAGCCACATACATGGTTTACAACTGCATACGCAAATTTTACACTTTTTCAAAATTATTAAAGCACATCTGGGGAGAGAAAAAACGAATCTGATGTCCATGATTTAGTTATTGCTATGGTTGTGATACAAGAACTACTAAGGGTCTGGCTTTGTTAGGGTGGGATCAAGCTTGTGTCTTCCTGGTTTATACCGCGAAAGCAAGTGGCATATCATAGTTTAATTAACGGTCCTGTGACTATTTAAAAGGATGAACTAAATAAAAGTTCAGGTCTAGACTCCAGGAAATGCTGAAATGCCCTGCAGAAGATGCTGGGAGGTGCTCTGGGTCTGAGGCCCCTGCAGGAATGGCTCCCTGACGCTTGCACTGTTTATTGAAAGTCATTTCACTGAACTCTGCAGCCGGATGACTGATTCTCAGATGAGGGATTTTTTTAATCATGTTAACTTAGCAATGGGAAGGTGCACTTAGATATAAATGCCCAACAATAAACATTTTACAGTGGGATATTGAATTTTCTACCAACTTGGCATCTCACCCAGATTTCCTGCCAGAAACATGACAGACTGTAAAAACTGCGAAGTTTGGAAGTTCAGAGAAATCTGTGGTTTATGCTGGTTTCCAAACTTACTGAAGCCTGTTACCAGTGTGCAGGAGTTACAATTGGGGCAGCTTACACCCGGAGCAAAATGTTTGCCTTGGCTCTATTTTTGGCACAGCTTATATGGCCATCAAAGACAGAGGGGAGGAGCTAGAGAGCAGGCCATTCACCTGGCAGCGGAGAAGTTAACAACTACATAGTTAGCCGAGAGCATGAAATACCTGCATGCCGACATCCAAAGCTAGTAGTACAAATTTCAAAGCACTAACAGGAGCGTGCGGTGCTCAAGAATGACATAATTCAACCTTACTGCTTCCACGGCTTGTTTATCACTTACGGCGGAGATGGAACGTAACAACTTCTAATTTACACGACAGCAGTACCCTGAAGCCCCAGCGGAAGGCTTGCTTCTGTCCCACTGGGGTACATGCTGAACAGTGCTCAACACCTGGCTCCTACCCATGTGTGTGCATCTCTAGTCCGAGGTACGTACAAAACTTTTATTAAGAAATCAGAGGTCAAAATCACTATTTATTTCTGAGTTGCCAACATTTATTTCCAGTTACAATTTCTGGTCTCCTTTGACCCTGTTTTGCTTTAGTCTGTCAACTGAGGTGGTAACTTCACCAAAAAAGCTGAACCCTGCCAAACTAGCAAATCAGAAAATTTGGGAAGAACACCACAGACCTCATGGCTGGATATGCTGTAGCAGGCTACAGCTCAGATAAGCCCCACTCACCCTGTAACCTTGCACCAGTAAACCAGCCATCACGTAGCCTGCAAGCTGTTTGGTAACATGGCATGTCTTACCTCAGCTAGGCTCAAAGGTTCCCACAGGGTTATTGAAACCTGCTAACGAATCAGAAGCCCTTTCGTTTAAGCCTTGGGAGCGGGGTCGCTTTGCTGTGGGTGTGGGACGAACAATAAGGCAAAAGTCAGCTCGTGCCCCAGAGGTACCACGTTTGGATGAGCCAAAGGTGAGAACAGAAGTAGAAGGTGAGAGGAGTCCTGCAGGTGAATGATCCTCACTGATGCCAGTTCAGGCTTCCAGGCATTGTACAGCAATGCCTGACATTGGAGCTCAAGTCATTTATTGATTCATTCTGTAAAAAAGAAGAATAAGAAATTGTTTGCTTTACTTGAAATTATAACCTGTGGGTCTCAGAGATGCAGAAAATCACCACTAACTGTGTTGGCATGCAGGAAAGGCTACAGCTGACCAGAAATTATAACCTATGCATCCAAGAAGACGTCAGCACAAAATCCGTTTAAACTGACAGCTAAATCCTTGCCAGGCCTTCCTTTCAGTGAGCTTTGGCAGAAACATGAGCATTGCAAATCTCACTGCAAACAAAAGTAAAGCAGAAAGACTCACTCTGCTTAGACAGCTGATCTGTGGGACCTCCTGGAGCAGCAGTTTCTTCTGGAAGGCTTGTGCACTAGCCCATCTCAGGCTACAGTAGAAACGGTCTCCCAACCAGACACTCCCAGAGAAATTTCTTGTGCTGTTGAAATGGGCAAGATGGGAACTCTCAGGAGCTCTCTCCACAGTGTGTTACTGATTTGTCATGGGAACTGCATGGTAACATGATTATATGAATTTGTCTGAAAGGAAACTGGCCAATTGACCACATTTTCTGGTTGTTAGTTTGTTCTAGATATAGGATTATTCAGATCTTCGTTCCATACCCCATGAAGCATATCTGGACTACCTTCCCATAGCCAACTTAAACTGTTCTTGAAACCCAAGCAGTGTTTTCATGTGCATCACAACTGTACGTAAAGGAAAACCTGCAGCTCACTAAAAACTTGGGTTTCGGGGCTTCAATTTGTTGTTGTGCTCATGGGAAAAATCAATCCCAGAAGCCAAACCTATACAAGCAAATGTTCCCACCACCTGCTGTATCTCCTCTCCACCCTGCTGGTCCTTATAGAGAACCCACTCCAGATGTTTTCCAGAGCTCTGATATAATTTTCAGTTTGTCCATCTCTTCACACAAATTGAAAATTCTTTTCTTCCTACCCATCTATGCAAGGCAGCCTCCCAAAAAACACACCATAGTCATTTCCCAAACTTTAGCATTTCCAGTAACAAAGAGCAGCTGATTTCCATTGCTGCGGTGTTGCCTTCTCACTGAAAGAAACTGGGGCAATCAGAAGTTGTGATTTTCCTGACCCTCCAAAGAAGCTGCTTCCATGCTGGAGCAATAGCAATGCTGTCTGATACCCATACACCTCAAGGGAACTCCAAAACTGCAGCAGAAATATTAAAAAAAAAAAATAAAAATCAACAAACCAAAATCACTACTAAATGCATATAACAAAGAATGGAAGGGAACGATTCTTTTGATAGAAATTTAGTCAAAAGTCCTCAAAATTAATTGCTTGAGGAGTAAGGAAAAGGGGATGTAACAGCTACAGTCTCTTCCCTCTTCTTGCTGGAGACAGCAGAGCATGACTGGGCATAGGAAAGCAGTGTGCTGTCAACTATAAAGTGCCTATTTGTTAGCTCCAGCAAACTGCTTGCTGTGCAGACAGACGGAAATTGTGTGAGGCGGATACAAATGCCATGAAGCCTGAAAAGAGGGAGGCCAGAGGGGAAGGCATGCGGCTGCGGCGGCAGCTTGGGCACAACCGAGCCGAGCCCCCAGCAGGTGGTGGTCTCCGACAGCGCAGGGGAAGGAGCGGCTCAAGCTGCTGCGGCGCCGGCAGGCGTGGGCTCTCCCAGCCAAAAAGGGAAACCCCTGCTGGCCTCCGATTTACTTCTCGGTGGAAAAGCAAGGGGATGGATTGGCCCGCGTTGCTAAGACCTGTGCTGTTGTGTGCTTGCGGTGGGTGGAAGCTGGCTTCCCTGATAAGAAGTCAAATGTCCTGGGGGACACTGCACGGAGGTCTCAGTAGCGGAGCTCATTGCAAACAGAAAATAAAAGGTAATTTTGTATGAATTACAGTGATCTCTCTTATTTTGGAGATGCACTTTTTTTTTTTAGCAGCAGAAAACACTGGGTTCTTAATGCCCACACTAGGTTTGCAAATATCTGACATCTCTCAGACTGCAAGATTTCCTGTCCTCCATATGCACATGAAGAATACCAGACTCCCAAGCCAGTGGCACGCTCAGCTATCAAAAGGCAGGATGATCTTAAAGGTCTTTTCCAATCGAAATGATTCTATGATTCTATGACTGGAGTCTGGCTGCATGCTGAGCTCCTGATGAACAATACTAAGTTGTACCACTCCCTGGCTCTGTCACTTCAGTTTCACTTGGACTGCTACGGCACTGATCTTTATGTGCCCAGGGCTTCTGTCATCATGGTAGAGACGGTACTAAAGAGACATGAACCCCATGCAACCGAAGGAAGAAACCTGCGGTACAGACGCACCTTAATGCACATGCACAAGGAGTGGAACGATGGTTGCACAGTCAGCCTCCGTGTTCTGGAGTGGTTTATGTGGCTTTGTGACCTTAACATTAACTTCTGTGAATGTTTAACTGCCCAGGTTTTTAGAGAACAAATGGAAAACAAATCCATCACATGGCCTCGTATCTACACCTGTATGGGTCACGAGTGGGACTGAAAAGTCTACTGTGTGTTACCCACCTCTGCTTGAGCCAGAGTGTGTAACGGACCCACAAAAACGCTGATGGCACAGAGCTGCCACTCTCTGTGAACCCTCACTAAGGGCAGTTAAGTGCACAAACTGCAGGGAGTGATTTCAGGCACCCAACAATACAGCGGCAACCTGCAGCAGCCACAAGCAGCACTGGCAGGGAAAGTCTCCTTTACTCATGGTGGTCCTATGCTGAATTTAATGCATCTCCAAGGATTTTAGCTGCCAAACTCTAAAAAGTCCCTACTGAGAAAACATTTTCTACAGCTTTTAATGTTTTAAATAGTTTGGGGTAAAGTTACCTCCCTGGCTCCTTGCCAAATTCATGCCTCAATGCACGGAGGCATTCTCGTTTGCACCAATTTGTGTGTTTTGATGGTACAAAATGACTGTACACAATTGTAACGTGGGCAAGAACAAGTGTTTCACCACTAACCAGTTGTGGTCCTCGCTAAACTATTTTTTGGAAAATTTCAAGCTGAAATTCAGCCCGAGGCAGGCAAGTGGTATGAGAAATTTCAAAGAAATGAAGTTTGGCAGGGCAACGGGGTGGGGCAGTCCTCTCTCTACACCCTGACATCTGCAAGCTCTGAAATAACACCGGAATGCATTTGGCTGTTACGAAACCAACAGAGAGCAAGAAACTCCTTCTTCGCATCAGACATACATTTTCCTTTATACTTTTGAAACTTCCCCTCACCTTTCTTTAAATTCAAGCCCTCTTATTAATTTTAAGATGAAAAGCGGTGGGGGGGGGGGGGGGGGGGGGGGGGAGGCTATCTGCCTGCCTCACGTGAATGAAAAACAGCAGGCCGCTCTCACGGCCCGCCTTGGGCACAACCTGGCATCGCACATCCCACGAAGCACTTTTGCGCCCTTTACCTTTTGTGGGTTTTATCACTCTCTCGTTCCCGGTCCTTTTCCTCCCGCTCTCTGATTAGCCCTCGTTCGCCCTAACCCGAAGTTTCCTCAAAAGGACGGCGATTTCCCCTCAGCACGGCTCCGGCGGGCTCGCGGCCCCGGGCGACTGAGGCGGCCGCGGGGGCCATTTTGCCGCCGGCGG